AGGGGTGATGTGTGTGGAGGAGGTGGTGGTGGTGTCTGAGTGGTGGAGGGTAGGGGTGATGTGTGTGGAGGAGGTGGTGGTGTCTGAGTGGTGGGGGGTAGGGGTGATGTGTGTGGAGGAGGCGGTGGTGGCACAAGCATGAAATCCCGCACTGGGGAGCTGAGGGAGGACTGTGAGTTTGGGACCAACAAAAGCTACAAACGAAAAATACACTTCAAAAAAATGTCAAAAATGTTATGAAACTATAAAATTCAATGTTCACAAATAAAGTTCTAATAAAACAGCCATTTTGTTAATTAATATGCTGGCTACGGCCGCTTTCACGTAAACTATGAGGTTTGTTTCAGAGACAATATTTTACAAAACCAAAAATATTTTCTTGATCCTTTGCAAAGGAAATTTATCAACTTCTGTTATAATGTAATTATTACCCTTTAATCCTGTTTTACTTTTTATCAAACTGTCATTATCAGCTGCATGCCTTTAATTCCAGCACCTGGGAGGCAGAGGCAGGTGGGGCTCTATGAGGTCGAGGCCAGCCTGGTCTACAGAGTGAGTTCCAGGACAGCCAAGGCTACACAGAGAAAAGAAAGGAAAAAAAGAGAAAAGGGAGAGAGAAGGAAGGAAGGGAGGGAGGGAAGGAAGAGAGAGAGAGAAAGAGAGAAGAAAGAAGGAGGAAAAAAGGAGGAAGGCAAGCAGCAGCAGAGGGTAAACAATAAGACTTAAGAACTATTGGAGGGTCGGGTGGTGGCGCAAGCCTTTAATCCCCACACTCAGGAGGCTGAGGCAGGCGGATCTCTGTGAGTTTAAGGCTGATCTACAACAAGAGTTAGTTGCAAGATAAGCTTCAAAGCTACAGAGAAACCCTTTCTCGGAAAAAAAAAAATGCAAGAAACAAAAAACAACCAAAACTATTGAAGGGATTGCACCAGCTCCACATCCTAGGAGGACGGACCAGGCACAATCTGTTTGAAGCACCAGTATCTCATGTCTTGACTTTGCTCACCGGAAGAATCTTCATCCACATTCTCATACTGCAGAAGTCGGTCTAGAAGGAAACTGGGAGAAGTGGAAAAGAGAATTATTCTCATTTTAGTAATGTTCTCCGGCAAGACATCTATCTAGTTCCTCCTAGAAGGCCCACTGGATCCTCCATGGAGGACATGCATTTGTGGTCCTATTTCAGGATGGAGCCAGGAGGAGGATTCCCTAGGCGTAGCATCGCTCTTGTCCCTCAAGAAGCCTTACCTCTTGTCCCGGGAAACCTTCAGCAATTTCCTCTGTGCCTTCCTGAGCTCCTCCTGGAAGCACTCGTGTTCCTGTATCAGACAGGGCAGGTGCTGAGCCAAGAGCAATCCGTAAAATGCCCAGAACCCAAAGACATCTCTTCCTACCTACCCCCTTTACCACATGGGTAAACTGAGGTCATCTCAGCGCTAGGCCTCCCACTCCACAACCTCCTCACACCAGCACTCACGTAAATGAGAAACTTAAGCTTCCGCTTCAGGTTCCTGTATTTCTTTTTGTAGTCCACTTCGCCGTCCGCTGGTCCGTTCATGACCCGCCTGGGAGTATCGCCCCAGTGTGGAGTCCCGCTACCCAGAGCCAAATAGGCCCGGCCTCTTACACTTCCACTTCCGGAGACTTGGCAACGCTGTACGAAGCGGACTACAACTCCCGGCGTGCTCAGCGCGCAGAGCGCGTAATCACACCGTTGGCCGTCCAGGGAAAGACCTGAAAGCTACGCCGCTTCCAATGGCTTCGCGGTGCGCTGAGGTCACAGAGGAGCCGGACGCTGAAGGGCGGTTGATTCTAAACTGACTAAAGATTGGGAGCCATAAAAGAAAACCAGAAATGCATTGTGTTGGCGAGGATACCCATTCCCTTCTGCCTTCCGAAACCACAGAGACCTGACTTGGATATCCTGACCACAGAGCAGCGTGAAGAGTTGATTACGTTACAGCCAGAGATTTCCGGCGGCGAATTCGGCTTCTAATGAGAATTTTAATAAGTAGTTTTAGCAAAGAGCAGAAACTTCGAGACCCACCAACTGCTTAGGAAAAGCAAGATCTGGCAAAGTTCTCCGTCCCAGCGCTTGAACGGCGGAGGCCCAATGATCCCGCCCCTCAGGAGCGGCGTCACTGCGCGTGCGCAAACTGCTGTCAATCTCACTGAAGGCGGCCCGGAAGAAAAAAGGCGGGAGCTACCAATCCCCGGTGGCGCAAAATGGCGCCTGGAGATGAGATGCTGGAATTCACGCGCAGCTTCTTCTGAGGTTCCCCTGACCTCAGGTGCATAGGGTATTAAGAGTCTGGATTGGAAAGGGCAGGAGTCGGACTGTGACTCTGTCTTGACACGTGTCTTTGTAGCACGGTTACGCACGCCGTCGTGCGACAGCAATTTCTGACCCACGTGGGCCAGGATCACCTTGAACCTGAGAAGCAGGCATTGAAGCGGCTGGTGGAGGAGGAGCTGCTGAAGATGCAGGTGTGGGCGTGAGCCTGGGCCAGGAGAGACAGGGTTTGTTGCTGAGGGGTTGGGACAACCTTGGTTCGGTTTGCCCTCATGCTGCACCCACAGGCGGATGCTGGTACCAGGGAAGGAAAGCTAGACTTCATTAAAGTGAAGAGGTCTCCTGCTCCCGGCAGTGACCCAGAGGCAAAAAGGTTCCGCTTCAATTCAGAGTCAGGTTAGTGCCTTCTCCCCTGCATTTATCTGTGTGTGACTACAGCATCATTGGTTTATTGATAAGGCAGGGTGCATGTATTACATTGCACGGCAGTAAATGAGGGTCAGGGAGGCAGGGACCAGGTGGAACCATACACGCTGTGGTGCTCCCTGCTGTCCTTCACTCCTAACCAGAGTAGAGCTAAAGGTACCCTATCCTAAATGTAAGGAGCAGGAGGAACCTATCCTAGCCCCGTCCCCATATTCCAGACTCCAGCTCTACACCATCCAGTCCAGACTGCTCAGGATGTCCAACAAAGAACAGCACAACCAAGGAGAAGTCATGTTTGAGGAGAGCCGTAAAGAAAGCAGTTGAGAGCACAGATGAAGAACAGCAAACAGACCTGGCGGCCAAGATGGGATCAGAGAGCACTGAGGAGGAGGATGGGGGAAAGGAGCAGAAGGCTGGGGCTAAAAAGAAAGCTGGGACCAAGAACGAGCAAGCACCAAGCAAGGCTTCAGCCACTGAGCAGCAGGTTAGGGAAGAAAGTGGAAGCAGTGAAGAGGAGGCTATGCAGGGTAGAGCAAAGATGGGGGAAAGAACAGGTGCTAAACGCCACAAGGAAAGTGACGACAGTGACGAGGAGACCCTAGCCAAGAAGAAAGAGCACAGGGAACCCAGACAGAGGAGCAACAAAGGGAAGAGAATGAGCTCTAAGCAGAAAAGCCGGGCTGGGAGGCGAACTAGAGGCGCGGGAGACAGTGAGGAAGAGAAGGGAAAGGGGGCAGTAAGTAGTGGGGACAGCAGTGAGGAGGAAAACAGGAGCAAGACCGGGTCCCAGACTGAGAGCAGAAGGCAGAGTGCCAGCAGCGAGGACGGTGAGAGCAGCACGCAGGAGCCAGCAGCTGCTCAGGACACTACAGAGATAGGCACGCGAGACAGCAGTAATGGGGAGAGTGATGTGGAGAGGGAAGGGAGTGACTCCCCGGCAGGAGAGAGCACCAAAGAGGAGAGGAAGAACCGCTCCTCCAAGAAGAGCTCCAAGAAAGGCAAAGCACGAAGTTCTTCCTCAAGTCCAGAACACACAAGCCAGAAGGTGAGAGGGCATACCAGGTGGGTAGCCTCCACCAGGGGAAAGGCTGGGCCTTCAGCTGCAAATTCCTTTACTAGGCTAGGTCTCAACGCTGTGGAGAGGACCATCCAGCTGTGGTGAGACTAAAGCGTTATATTCGGGCTTGTGGTGCCCATCGGAACTACAAGAAGCTCCTGGGGTCCTGTCGCTCCCACAAGGAGCGCCTTAGTGTCCTCAGGACTGAGCTGGAAGCGCTGGGCATGAAGGGTGAGACTGGATGTGCCCAAGAGCTGCAGGAGGGCGTGGGCACTGGGGAAGAGAAGCTCATGAGCCACTTCTGCTCCAGGCACTCCTTCCTTGGAGAAGTGTCGGGCCCTGAAGGAGCAGCGAGAAGAGGCAGCTGAGGTGGCTTCCTTGGATGTTGCCAATATCATCAGCAGTTCGGGTAAGTAGTTTTCTCTTTAGGAAAGGAAGAGGCTGGGGGTCAGATAATTAATTTTCTTCCCCCACTTCCCAGGCCGACCACGAAGAAATAACGCCTGGAACCCTTCAGGGGAAGGAATTGCCCCAGGGGAGCTTTATCGCCGAACCCTGGATTCAGAAGACGAGCGACCACGCCAAGCACCTCCAGACTGGTCCCATATGCGGGGCATCATTAGTAGTGATGGTGAGAGTAGCTGAACTCCATGCTCCAGCAGGGACCCTGTCCTGCTATACAAAGAGCCTGTGGCATTGAAGCAGTCTCTTCAAAAGATACTATAGCCCCAAGGACCTAAGTTGTTGGCACAGTATTCAATTTTATGTTCTCTAAGGTTTGGGGGTTTCTGTTTTTAGAGTCAATAAAGTAATGTTTGTAATTACTTCATCTGAACTAGACCCTAACTCTCATGCCCCATCTTTTGGGATATAGCCCTTGCTACTAGCTAGTAGTCTCTTATGGATTCCCAGTTGCCCCAGTCCCTGGCCTGCCAGGCTGTATTGGAGGACACAGTTGTCCTTTCAGTGCAACCAAGTCTCTAGTCAAACTGGCCTGACCAAACGAAGCCTAATAATGGTAGAATATACGACTAACATCAACCAAGGCCTAGTTCTCAATCCCAGCACCCACTCACCTCCCCCACCCCCGGCTCAGTTCATCTTCTTTCCCCACACTGCCAGGGACTTTTAGCCTTCAAGAGGTAGGCATAGTAGATACGACTGACCAATCAGATCATGACAAACCTCTGCAGAATTCCATGTCCAGGCAGGCATCTAGTAAGAAACAGACATGGGGCTGCTGGGGAGTTTCTGTACCAAGATTTTCTGAGAAGCTTTGAACCCAAAGCAAAGCAGAAATAAAGGGTCAACAAGCTGATGATCTCCCAATCATATGTGCAGTCATTAAAATCATTAGAATTTTTAATCACACGACCCAGTTAAGTACAAGTAACACTATCACTTGCTACTCATCGGTCCTTCACACACACCTTAGACAGAAAGGGAGAAGTCCCAGGGTCTGTTAGAATAACCAACAGTTTATTAAAAGCTTGCCCTAGGGCTCTGTGCCAGCCCCATAGCTGAGAGGGGCTCCCCTGACTGCTCCCAGGCTTGGCAGCAGCCCTTTCCAAGGTCCTTCCCTTGTACCCTACCCCAGCCCTGACCCCAATTTAAAAAAAAAGACAAGACGGCACAGGACATCAGACAGCAACAGGAAAATGGTGAGACCCAGGCATCCTGACTTCAAGACCCCCAATCCTTCTGGAGGAAGGCCTCTTCCCATTCTCCTTGCCTTGGGCACCAGACCTGCCCTGCCATATCCAGGTCTGGGGACCCTGTTGTCCCCAGTTCATGGCCCCATCACAAGGGTTGTATAGTTCTCTGAATATAATATATCTAGACCCACCCTTCCCCTCCCCCAGGGGACCAGATGAATATTTGACACTCACAGTTCCACCTTTTGTAGGTGGTGATGGAGAGAGACCCTGGCACCATGGTGGGGAGGCAGGGCTCCTGGTCAGCCTTGGGGCACCAATGCCCAAGCTGGCCTGGGGTCACTGGCCAGCCCCAAGAAGCTCACGAGATGTGGAGGTCTGATGGGGAGCTGGAGCCAACATCCTGTCCCCACCCCCACTGGGTAGGCTGCAAGCCTGCCTGTAGGATCAGGCATTACCCACTCCCACCTTGCCCTATTCCTCAGCTCACCACCCTGCACTTCAGGAATAGAAGTGGGAGGAACCGTTGAGGATGTGGGAAGCAACACTGGTGCTTCGGCTCAGCGGCCCTGGTACTGCAGCAGGTGGGCCCACGTTCTCACTGCTGCTGCCCCCTGATGCCGCTCGCCTCAGGGGTTGAGGGCTGTTTCTTAGCAGTAGCAGAGCCCCTCCACGGGGTGTTCCACTCTGTGTTGGGGGCCCTAGCCAGTTTGGAGGCCCTGGAGGAGCCAGCAGAGCTGGCTGACGCCAAGCTGGTGGGGGCATGCCTGGTGGAGGAGGGCCGTGGCTCCAATGGGCCCCTGAACGGGGAACTGGACGGGAGGGCCAGGCAGGGGCTGGGGGTGGAGCAGGATAGCCTTGGGCAGCAGCTTCAGCTGGAATGCCCCCCAGTGCCATGCTGGAGAAGCCCAGCCTCATGCTCTCGGCATCAAAAGCCTCGATCTCACGGGCCTGCCGCTCAAGCAAACTTCGGATTCGCTCAGAACGCCCTGTTTGCAGGGCCAGCAGCTCTTCTTCCACCTGGGACGCCCAAAACAGGGGTGAGAGTACTGGAATGGAGAACCCGCTCTCCCTTTCCCAGTTGGGGGGCAAGCCCCTTACCCGTTGCTCTAGCAGTGCCCGCCTCAGTGCTACTCTCTGCTCCAGCTCCCTCAGCTCCCGCTCATGCTGACTCTCTGTGCGGATCTTGATCTTGCTCTGGTAAGCATTGAGGAGCTCCAGCTCCTGTTGGAGCTGCTGCCGCAGGGCCTGAAACTCTGCCTCTTGGGTCTCATCAAGCCGGAGCTGGAGGACAGGGAGGGGAAGGTTTAGGGACCTCCTCCTCTGTCCCCACTATCCTCCCCTGCCCCAGTAGGCCTGGGCCCTAAGGTGGCAAGGCGCGGCAGTCTCAACCTCTACCAGAATGGAAGATGGTCATACCCTGTGGACAGCAATTACACTTGCAGGAATCTATCCCCCAGGTATACTTGCACATGTGCTCCAAGTGTTCACGGAAGCGTTGTGATAGCAAAATGCTGGAAACAACCTAAATGTCCACCAATAAGGGATGGGTTAAATAAATTATGGTACAGCCATTCCATGGAAAACTCTATACTGTATAAAAAATGAGATATGTGATATGTATAGTGACATGGAATGATGTCCAAGAAATATTGGGTGGAAGGGAAGTCAGAAAACTATGTAAAGTCTGATTCCTTTGTGTTGAAAATTTGTATGTAATTTTCCAGATATGCATTGGAAACTATACAAGCTAATCACTACAGAATTACCTCTGAGAGGTAGGACTGAGTGAGAGTGGGGCCCTCCAGCTCTTTGGAGTCAGTGTGCATTTGAAGCAGCCCACTCCAGTGCTGTGTACAGTCTTCCTAGAGCAACCTTCCAGATTCCGGAAGTCTGAGTAAAAGGCCTGAGAGCCACACTCACAGTAATCTGCTCCCCTGCTCCCTGTTCACAAAAAGTAAACTCTGGTCCAGAAAAAAATATTACAGCCATTATTTTCCTTGGTGTTTCTTGGCAGAGCAGGCAGGATGACTTTGTTAAGACATTAGGAAAATAGTAAGGGAAGAAAATAAGACCACTGCAAAGAATACGAAATAAAACCACTATGAAGAACGTCAATAGTGAGAGCACACGAGTCTCCTAAGTCCAAAAATTCTGTTCACACCTCCCACCTTCCTTTGCCTCAACAACGTTTAAAGCAAAGGCCAACCTCCATAGTCTCCCTCCCAGACCCCAGGCCTCACCGCCTGTGAGCTGAGCATCTCTGAAATGGACTGGTCATACTGCTCGGCCAGGATCGCCAGCTTGCGGGTCTGTTCCTCCTTGAGCCGCTTAAGGAGGCTCTTGTGCTGAGCTTTGGGTGTGGTCTCCAGCAAGTGTGCCCGAAGAGCCTTGTATTGCCGAGTCTGGATCTTACACGTTTCCTGGAACTGCTTCTTGATCTGCAGCTCCTTCGACTGTGCAGTGAACGGATCAAAGGGAAATGGGGCAGGGAGAAGGAGGAAGAAGAGGAACACGAGGGGAAAGGAGAAAGAGGAAGGAGACAGAAGCAGAGACAGGGAGAGGGAGAGAAACAGAAAACATGTTAGACAGAGGGGGCAGGGGGAGCTGTACACAGACAGACATGGAGAGATGGAACTGTTGAGATGAAGAAAGGCTCCATGGGCAAGAGAGGCGGAGAAACGGGAGGTTCGGAGAGTACATCAGAGGTGCATGGGCATCACAGGAAGGAATGGAAGATCTTAGACAGGGAACTCAGAGTCTAAGAGGATTGAGGACACAAAGAAGCTCTGCTCATGCAAAGAGGGAGGGAGAAAAATCACCCCGAGACAGAAGCATGTGACCAAATGTTTAAGGAATGTAAAGACTGAGTGAGACCGAGGTACACACAACACTGATGAAAGGGCAACACGACAAAGGGCAGGCAGAGGAAGGCCCGGGTCCAGCACCTCAGGGAAGGCAGGAAGAAGTGCTGTGCTGGGGGCTGGGTTAGAGGTCACCCCATATCAGGCCACAGAAAGGAAAGGGCAGCAGGGGGTGGCCAGAAAAGGTCTGAGAAGTTCCACTGAGAGCAGCTGCCACCCTGCCCTGACCAGATCCACTCATTACTAGCCCAGCCCAACATACTTAGCCCCCAGTCCAAGTCCACAGTAATCCCAGGCCTCTAGTTTGCACATGCTACCTAGTCCCACCTCACCACCCTCAACTGCTGTCCCAGCCCCCAACCCTGTGACTAATGCCTGATCCAGCTGATAGACGCAGTTCCAAATCATGTTCACAGTAAAGGAAGGGGCAAAGTGACCAAAAGACTTTAACCTTAGGTACTCTCTGCAAAGGTCCCACAGCGGGAACTATGAGGTCAGGAAGGTCTGTGGAAGTTCCACAGGGCTCACTGCCCAGAGCTGTTTGTGGTCATGGTGCAATGAAGCTATGAAGGCAGAGGATGAGGCTGAGGAGTGAGAGGAGTGAAGACAACGGAGATGGGGTGAAGAGTCATGGAGCTGAGGGCCAAGGGTCCAGATTCGGGGCAAACCAGGGAGGCTAGGCGGCAGGACAAAGCAGACAGAGGCAGCCTGGGCCAAAGGTATAGTTCCGCTCAGATATTTTATTTGTGTTTTTCGTTTTTTCTTTTTCTTTTTTTTTCTTTTTTCTTTCCTTCTTTCTTTTTTTTTTTTTTTTTTTTTTTTTTTTTTTTTTTTTTTTTTTTTTTTTTTTTTTTTTTTTTTTGTGGAGGGGGAAGGGGACAGGTTGGAAGGGAGACAGAAAAACAAAATCAGAGGGGAAAAAAAACCCCATGACTTCCCTCCCTGCCACCCCTGGCCCCAGGCCTGAGCCGATGAGGGTGAGGATGAGCACACACACAGCAGGGCAACAGCAATAACTTAGGGGGTGGGGAAACACAGAGTGTCATTTCTGGACTCCACAGTAGAGGAGGCTGCCTGACTACAGATCTCTGGGGCCGGGACCGGACCTGGGGAAATATACTGAGGAAGAAAGGTCAGAGGGGAGGAGAGGCCGGGGGATTGGAGAAACTTCACTGAGTTGCAGGAGATAAAGTGCTCAATGCCCTAAGTTTGGGTGGAGGGTTAGAACTGGTTACCTCCAGGGAGGCAGGGCCCTGCGGGTCTGAGATCTCCGTCCACCCACAGTCCCTGGTGGTAGCTGTCGGGAAGCAGAGAGCCCAAGACGGCGCTGGCTGCGTGGTAGCAACCGAGGGATCCGACTGGGCCTTTCACCCTTAAGCAGGCCCCAGCTGGCTAGTGTGTGAAGAGCCCAGGGGGGCAAGCAAGAGGCTAATCTGTGGCTAGCCCGTGCTAGGCGCCAGTTCCAGCCCTTGCACAGAGCCCAAACTCTTGCCAATAGAGCGAGTGGGTGTTGAGTAGTGCGAGGATTTCCCTGACGGGGCCAAGGGACAGGTAGTCGGCTTCGGAAACCATTCTTGTTGGTCTTGGGGTACAGCGCAAACAGTCCCCGGTCTCCCACGGCCCCACAGCCCTGTAGGGCCCGAAAGGCCATGGGCGACAGGCGTAGCAGAACCCGCAACCAGAGTCGAGAGATGCCTCGACGAATCTGAGGGCCTTGCTGCCGTACCCATTTGCCCCCAGCTGCCACAGCTGCCAGAGGTAAAGCCAGGCTGGGCCAAGCTAGGAGCCAGGCAGCCCCAAGGCCCAGAGGCACACCCATAAGGCCTCGGCGCCAGCTCAGGCTAAGGACAGCCCCCAGTGCAGTGCCCTGAGCCAGGAGAAGGAACAGGCTGGGGGGCAGGTGTAGGGCTGTACAAAGGAACAGGTAGGAGGCCCCCAGGCCTACTAGTCCTACCTCAAGGGCCAGCAGTGCTGCCTGCAAGCCACCCCCACCTTGGGCTGCTAGCAGTGGGAGTAGCAGCAGCAGGAGTAGGGGCAGGAGGCCTGAGGAGGACCCCACAGCAAAGGAGAGGCCGGCCAGGAGGCCATGAGATAGGAGTCCAGGGAG